AAGGTCTCAACATCTTTTTTGTAGTATGGTGACCAAAATTGGTTGCAGTATTCCAGGTGTGGCCTTACTAGGGTTTTATAAAGCAGTACTAATACTTTACGTGATCTTGATTCTATGCCTCTGTTTATACAACCCAGGATTGTATTAGCTTTTTTGGCTGCTGCTGCACATTGCTGGCTCATAGTCAAGGTTCCCTTCACAGTTACTGTTTTTGAGCCAGGTCTCATTTAATCTGTACTTATATCTTTGATTTTTCCTGCCTAAATGTAAAAGTTTGCATTTCTCCACATTAAAACTTATTTTGTTGAATAGGGTCCATTGTTCCAGGATAGGATGGGATGGGATGGGATGGGATGGGATAGGATAGGATAGGATAGGAAGGGACCTTGGAGGTCATCTACTCCAACCCCCTCCTCAGGCAGGAAACCCTACATCATTTCAGACAAATGGCTGTCTAGTCTCTTCTTGAAAACTTCCAGTGTTGGAGCATCCACAACTTCTGGAGGCAAGTTGTTCCATTGATTAATTGTTCTCACTGTCAGGAAATTTCTCCTTAATTCTAGTTTGCTTCTCTCCTTGATTAGTTTCCATCTGTCACTTCTTCTCCTGTCTTCAGGTGCTTTGGAGAACAGATTGATTCCCTCTTCTTTATGGCAACCCTTGAGATATTGGAGCACTGCTATCATGTCCCCCCTCGTCCTTCTCTTCATTAAACTAGACATACCCAATTCCAGCAACTGTTGTTCATATGTTTTAGCCTCCAGTCCCCAGTTGCTCTTCTCTGTACTCTTTCCAGAGTCTCAACATCTTTTTTTACATTGTTTTACATAGCTAGGCGTTCAAAAGATTTTCAAGCTTGGTTGCTTGTCTTCCCAAGCCATTTTTTTGATGGCATGAAACCTTTTGGGTGAAGATGCTTAAAATGACACCGGATAACCTATTAGGTTGAAGCCTCAACATGAGGTTTCCAAACACTTTGAAGAACGAAGGCTTCAGGGTGGGGTGAATGCAAGCCTGTGTCAACATGTCAACCGCAATTATAATGAGCGTTCGGTTGAACCAGTTGGCGTATCTTCGCATTATTAGATGTGTTAGGCGACCGATACTATAACTCCCAGCTAGTATGGGGATTACAAACGCAGTATAGGGACCCAGCTGGACACCCTTCCTGAGGTAAGCAAATTCACCTCTTTGAGATGTCAATTCTTAAAATATTTGTAGCGTGAGAAAGAAAAGCCAGCAACAGAGTATTCTTGTCTTAGCCAGTATGATTTTTTTATTTTATTTTTGTGAATATTCACTCTCAATGTTTGTATAATGTAGGTGTGCGTCACCTTAGCTTTATTGGCAGAATTATTGATTGATTGATCTGGTGTTGACCATGAACTTCCAAACTAGAATCTCAACGTTATTGCGACATACTATTTTTTAATTATTCCTCTGGGTGAAAGTCTGACATAAAACCCATCCAAATACCGTTTTGCAGAGTGCTGTTAAAATTAGAAGCACTTATAAAACAAGCTAAAGCTGTCCAGAATAGTCTAGCAATATATGGATATAAATCAATTCTGGGGAAAGAAAAAAAAAACAGCTGCAGAAGAAAAGATCTAATTGTGCACGAACTATTCCAGAGATTTAGAACATGGAACGTAGAATAAAAGAATTGGAAGGGACCTTAAGAGGTCTTCTAGTCCAACCCATGCTGGAGCAGGAGATCCCAAATGGCTGTCTGGTCTTTTTTTTTGGGAAGCCTCCAATGATGGAGCACCCACAACTTCTGAAGGCAAGCTATTCCATGTAGTTTTCTCATATAGTTGTCGTGACAACAACAGCATAGCGATGATCCAGATATTTTTCAGAGAAATGCTTACGTGCCAGCAGTGGCCGCACACCAGATCAGAGCTGTTTTTTAGGAGGATCGAACACATGGTGTTTAGTTGATTTTCTTCATCCTTGCAGTTTTCTAGTTCCTCAAAATGATCCAACGAGGTCTTGGGGCCACTGCATTTCAGGAAACGTGACCTTTTAACGTTCTGTGTGAATGTTTTTTTTTTCCCCCCCAGCCAACACAAATGTAAACTTATCATCAAATCATCCAATTCCTTATTACGGGTCAATGACCCAGACTAGTCACAACGTAGGAATGAAGTTACAGGTTAGTCCTCAACTTAACAACAGTTTAATTTGGTGACTGTTCGAAGCTACAAGAGCCCTCGTGCTGACGCGCTGGTGTTTGCATCCCTGGTAGAATTGTTACAAGTAAGAATAGCAGCACAATCTTGAGTGTATTCAGATTCATTGTGTCCGGTGTCACCACAGTCAATAAAACAATACACAAAGATGCAGTTGTGTAAATCTTCCTCCCCCGTTTGTTTCTGAACGTCTTGTGCTTCAACTCCCAGGACATGAGGTCCTCAGCCTTGCTATCTGGGGATTATGGGAATTTTGAGTCCAACTGAAGTGGAAGATATGATTTCTCAGATTCCTTTTTATTCTTCTTTCCTTCCTTCCTTCCTCTTTTCCTTCCTTCTTTCCCTCCCTCACTCCCCCCTTCCTTCCTTCCTTCCTTTCTTTCTTCCTTCCTTCCTTCCTTCCTTCCTTTCTTTCTTTCTTTCTTTCTTTCTTTTCTTCCCTCCCTCCCTCCCCTTCTCTCTTCTTTCTTTCTTTCTTTCTTTCTTTCTTTCTTTCCTTCCTTCCTTCCTTTCTTCCCTCCCTCCCTCCTTTCTTTCTTTCCTTCCTTCCCTCCCTCCCTCCTTTCCTTCCTTCTTTCCCTCCCTCCCCTTCTCTCTCCTTTCTCTTTCTTTCTTTCTTTCTTTCTTTCTTTCTTTCTTTCTTTCTCTTTGTTTCTTCCTCCCTCCCTCCTTTCTTTCTTTCTTTCTTTCTTTCTTTCTTTCTTTCTTTCTTTCTTTCTTTCTTTCTTTCTTTCTTGTAATGATTTTAATTAACAGTTGTAATTGACACCTTCTTACCTACTTGTCAATCGTGTCCCAATTCAGATCCACTCCTTTTGATGGCCCCACCCACCCACCCACTCATTCTGGATGCCGAGGGAACTTGAGTCCTTTGCTTAACAATTTTCTAACCATCCAGTCCTGTTTCCACCCAAGACGTGTTGGGTAAGGTTGCTTGCAGCAATTTGTTTGAGAAGAACGCCAATGTTCTTTTGGCTGGCAGCCAGCCTGTCCTACCCATGTTTTGTCTTAGAGGGGCAGGATAGTCACCTCCCTGTTTGCTCAAGACTTTTTCATCCAGAACTTGCCTTCACCTTGCTCAGATAGCTCTTGACACCTGCACTGGAAGGTCTTCAAACGTTTAGCATCCACGTTAAAGCTGGTAGGTGTCTCCTCTTATGCCTATGATACATTTGGAATTCAAGCCAGAAGACTGTAATAGTCTCCCTCCGATGTATTGTATGCTACTTCACACTTGTGTTTCACAACAGAAGGAAAGACAGCTTGGTGGAGTTACCCCTGTCTTTGTCCTAAATTATGGGAATGTTGCATCTTCAGCGGGAAGGTGCTTGACTGAGTTTTATTACAGCCACAGAAAAGGAATGCTGGCTATTTGTCATCGAAAACCACAGGGCCGTATGAAATCAAAATAGTTGAGAATGATTAAGAATAGTTGAGAATTTGCACATTCAGGAGCAGCATATAATGCAATAGAATTGAGACTGGGATAATGATGTATGGAGCTGCTAATGCTTGGGTTTTTTTTGCTTACTGTTGGGAAGGAAAAGTAGATTATAATTATAGAATAGAATAGAGCAGAAATAGAATAGAATAGAGCAGGAATAGGATAGGATAGAGGATAGAATAGAACAGAACAGAACAGAACAGAATGCAATTTGGAATGGAATGGAATGGAATGGAATGGAATAGAATAGAATAGAATAGAACAGAACAGAAATAGAGTAGAATATTATAGAATAGAATAGAATAGAGCAGAACAGAATGCAATTTGGAATGGAATAGAATGGAATGGAATAGAATAGAATAGAACAGAACAGAACAGAAATAGAGTAGAATATTATAGAATATTATAGAATAGAATAGAATGAAATTTGGAATGGAATGGAATAGAATAGAATAGAATAGAATAGAACAGAACAGAACAGAAATAGAGTAGAATATTATAGAATAGAATATTATAGAATAGAATAGAATAGAATAGAATAAGGAATAGAATAGAATAGAACAGAACAGAACAGAACAGAATGCAATTTGGAATGGAATGGAATAGAATAGAATAGAATAGAACAGAACAGAAATAGAGTAGAATATTATAGAATAGAATAGAATAGAGCAGAATAGAATGCAAGTTGGAATGGAATAGAATGGAATGGAATAGAATAGAATAGAATAGAATAGAATAGAATGAAATTTGGAATGGAATGGAATAGAATAGAATAGAATAGAATAGAATAGAACAGAAATAGAGTAGAATATTATAGAATAGAATATTATAGAATAGAATAGAATAGAATAGAATAGAATAGAATAGAATAGAATAGAATAGAATAAGGAATAGAATAGAATAGAATAGAATAGAATAGAATAGAGCTGGAAGGGACCTTGGAGGTCTTCTAGTCCATCCCCCCACTCAAGCAGGAGAACTTATACCATCTCAGACAGGTGAATGTCTAGACTCTTCTCTAAAATCTCCAGTGATGGAGAGCTCACGATTTCTGGGGGTAAGCTGTCAAGTCATTTGAAAGCCCGCCCCAGTATCCAGCTCCGCTTTTCAAAGCATTTTCGTTTTTTGCAGGGAAGCAAGCAAAACTATTTGATTATCAAATGAGTAATACTGTTGTTGAGGGGTGAAAAAAAACACACGGACGTATCTCTGTAGTCACTAGGAGCTGAGCCTGACTCAACAGACACTTTTATTTATCTCCCCATTGTTCTGGACTGAGATTCATTCCTTTTCTCCCTTTAAAAAAAAAAAAAATGAATCTTTGGGGCTGCTGGTGTAATCACTCGTTTCCTTAATCTTTCTAGAGATGTCTTTCCCGATTGACTTCTCGGTAGCCATGTGGACTCTGGGTCTCGGCGCCATCGGGGCTGCTGTGACGGGGATCATCCTTGCCAATACGGATCTGTTTCTCACTAAAGCAGAAAATGCCTCGCTGGAGTTTCTAGAAGAAATTGATCTCAAGAGTCTGGGCCAAGGTAAGACTCGGGCAGAGATTGTTCCCACGGTCCTAATTGCAAATTATAGAAATGCAACTGGAGAGACAAATCTTCCTTCTTTTTTTTTTCTGGAGTGGATAAAGGGCTAATAGCAAGCCTCGGAGTTTACTCTGCTAGAGAGATTTAGAGCTAGAAAACATTCCTCACTTGGAAAGTTAGAAAATAGAAATAGAAATAAGAATAAGGATGGGATGGGATGGGATGGGGTAGGATAGGATAGAATTACAGAAAGAATAGAATTACAGAATAAAAATAGAATTGCAGAATAGAATAGAATTACAGAGTAGAGTAGAGTAGAATAGGAGAGAGTAGAATATAGAATAGAATATAGAATAGAATAGAATAGAATAGAATAGAATAGAATTACAGAGTAGAGTAGAGTAGAATAGGAGAGAGCAGAATATAGAATAGAATATAGAATAGAATAGAATATAGAATAGAATAGAATCATGGAATGGAATAGAATAGAATGGAATATGGAATATGGAATGGAATATAGAATATAGAATGGAATATAGAATGGAATGGAATATAGAATGAAATTGAATATAGAATAGAATAGGAATATGGAATGGAATACAGAATATAGAATGGAATATAGAATGGAATGGAATATGGAATGGAATAAGATAGAATTGGAATAGAATAGAATAGAATTGAATTGAATTAGAGCTTGGAGGTCTTTCACATTATTCTCCAAAGCACCAGAGGGCAGGACAAGAAACAGTGGTTGGAAACTGACCAAGGAGAGAAGCAACCTGGAATTAAGGAGAAAGTTCCTGACAGTGAGGACAATTCACCAATGGAACAGCTTGCCACCAGAAGTTTCAGGTACCCCATCACTGGAGATTTTTAAGAAACGACTGGACTGTCACTTGTCTGAGACAGTATAGGTTCTCCTGCTTGAGCGGGGGGGCTGGACTAGAAGACCTCCAAGGTCCCTTCCAGTTCTGTTTTGTTCTTAGTACAGTCTTCTAGTCTAGCCCCCCAGTCAAGCAGGAGAATGTATACCATCTCAGAAAAGTGACTGTCCAGTCTCTTCTTAAAAACTTCCAGTGGGGGCAAGCTATTCCACTGGTGAATTGTCCTCACTGTCAGGAACTTTCTCCTTAGTTCAAGCTGGTTCTCTCCTTGATTAGTTTCCCTCCATTGTTTCTTGTCCTTCCTTCTGGTGCTTTGGAGAATAATTTGACCCCCTCTTCTTTATGGCAGCCCCTCAAATACTGGAATACTGCTATCCCCAATTTCTTCTTTAGACTAGTCAAAGCCCTGCAGACATTCTTCGTATGTTTTAGTGTCTAGGCCTTTGGTCATCTTACTTGCTCTTCTCTGAATTTTTTCCCAAAGTCCCAACATCTTTTTTGTGATATGGTGACCAACATTGGCTGCAGAATTCCAGGTGTGATCTTGCTAGGGTTTTATAAAGCAGTACTAATACCTCGTGTGATGTGGAGTCTGTGCCTCTGTTTATACAACCCAGGATTGTGTTAGCTTTTTTTGGTGATCATCCCCTAGGACTCTCAAGGTCCAGGTTGAGCAGCATTGCATTTCATTGACGTGTGAGATTTGTGTCTCAGAAAAGATGCATCCCCTTTCCACGCGAAATGCAGGAATGCATGCAAGAACATGCATCCTCTTGTATTGTTGAGACCCACTCCTGGTTCTACAGTTTGGGGACTCAGAAGGTGGGATTCAGCTTGGAGAAAAAGGGAGTTCGTGGACTTTTAGAATTCAAGTATTCTCCCAAAGCTCTCTTTGGGAGAAAGTATATGGAAGTGGGGTTAAAATAGCCCAGACCTCCTTCAGCTTGGTGCCCTTCAACACATTGGATTACAATTCCTGAGAAGCATGGCTGTCTAGAAGGCATCAAACTGGCCTAATAGACGGTAATAGAATTAATTATCTGCTGATCATGTTTTCATGATTTACGGCAGTGGTTCTCAATCTGTGGATCGGGACCCCATTTGGTGTTGAACGACCATTTCACGGGGGTCGCCAAACAAGGCCATTTTCCCCCCTTTTCTTTGGCCAAGCCCCTGGCACCCAGTGATGTATAAGTGGTTGGGGGTCACCACAACATGGGGAACTGTATTATGGGGTCGCGGCATTAGAAAGGTTGAGAACCACTGAACTAGTGGAACAGCTTGCCACCAGAAATCATCCCAGTAGAGAGAGAAGTAACCTAGAATTAAAGAGAAACTTCCTAACAGTGAGGACAATTAACTAGTGGAATAGCTTGCCACCAGAAATCACTGGAGGTTTTTAAGAAGAGGCTAGACCAGTGGTTCTCAACCTGTGGGTCGGGACCCCATTTGGGGTCGAACGACCATTTCACGGAGGTCGCCAAACAACGCAGTCCGCCATTTTTTTCCCCCTTTTCCTTAGCTGTGCTACTCCCTTTTATTCTATTGGCTTTTGAAAGCCAATAGAATAGACTCTCTTGAATAGAGTCTAATTCTATTGGCTTTCAAAAGCCAATAGGAATTGTCTAGGCTTTCTCTGCCCTGCTGAGCCCGCCAAAAGTCCCATTCTGCAAACGGTGCTGCACCGGTTGAGCAGTCCTCGACTTACGACCTGTTGAGTAGTCTTCAACTTACGACCGGTTGGGGGTCGCGGCATTAAAAAGGTTGAGAACCACTGATTTACGGAGATACTTTGATTGATCTTGAAAAGCTAGGGAGAGAATTGGACAGGAAACTCTTGAAACTCCAAGAATTGTAGGCTACGAATAGAAACAAATATTTGTAGGCTGGAGGATGAATTGTGGGATCCTTGGGGCTTTCTATGCTTGTTTTCTTAGATAGCATCATCAGTGCTTGATGATGTTACCTACTTGGGTAATGAAACGTCTGCAAGAAAACAACCAAGCTCAAGCACCAAGGACCCCACAGTAGGTTACACTGGAAAGTTGAGAAAAACATCCGTGTCGAAGGCAGAATCCAATCCCTTCCATCTCGCTGCTAAAACAACTCTGTGGACTTTGCCGTGCATTTTACCAGGACGTGAACACGATTCAAAGGAGCTGAACTTAAATGAGATATTCCTTCCCTTTTCCCTTTGATCTCAAGGAGAACAAAGAACATTCAAAGCCAAGGATCTGTGGAAGACGAACGGCGCTGTCATCATGGCGGTGAGGCGGCCTGGATGATTCTTGTGCAGAGAGGTAATGCATGTTCTCCAGTAGATCAGGGCTTTTCAACCAGTGGTACGGGTACCACCTGTGGTACATTGGCACCTGGCAGGTGGTACGCGACCATCCTAGAAAAGTAGCAGGGGAGGGGAATGAGCTGAACCGGTGGCAGCACCGCACAAGCCTGAGTGAGAGACGGCTGGAGCTGCAGGGCTGTCGGCTCAGCGGAAGTGCCAGGATCAGCGCCAGGCTCCAGCTGAAGCTCGGCGCTGATCCTGGCGCTTCTGCTGAGCCCAGAAGAAGTGCCAGGATCAGCTTGAATGTTGCAGCATCTCCAGGGTCTTGTGATTTACATTCAGATGCTTGGCAAATGATTCATATTTATGACGGTCAGAGTGTCCCAGGGTCATGGGAAGTGACCAAAACCTGCTGCAACCACCCAGCAGATGGGGGGGGGATAAAAACCAACCCCCCCACCCCACCCCCACTGCCAATCCTCAACAGAAATGCTCACAACAATGAAAACCTCGGACAGGAGGAAGAGCGCCACTGGGGGGGGCAGGCAGGTGTCTTGCTCAGCTGTGGCTTGGGGGGGCGCTTTTTTCAGTGCAGTTGTAACTTCGAACAGTCACTAAGCGAACTGTTGTAAGTCGAGGACTACTTGTACTTTATCACTTTTTTCCTTTTTTTTCTTTTGGTCATCAAGTTTTTGACACCTTGCTAGGCAACTGCTGGTACTCGGATATTGCCATATCCTAAAAGTGGTACCATGGGTGAAAAGGTTGAAAAGCCCTGGACTAGATGACCTCCAAGGTCCCTTCCAACTCTTACTCTGTTAAGCCTGCACGGAAAGCAAGGTTCTTCCAGTAATAAGCTTAGTAAGACTAACTGGAAGAGGATAGAATAGGATTACAGAAAGCTCAGTTGATCTCCTGGTGCTTGTGGCAGATGGCTTCTCAGTCTCTTATTTACAATTCTTCTGTGAACTTGATTTGTTCTCTTGACTGAGAATGGAGGAATGTTCAGTTAGTTAGGATGTAAATCTTCCTCTGGTTTCAAGCGTACCATTACATCCTGTGTTCCTTAACTGCCAATCCTTTGGGCAGCGGACCAAAAAAAGAGCACCGGAGAGAACAAAGCTTTTAAGCATGTCTAAATCTACATTTAAAACGGGGACAACTGGCAGGAACAGGGAAATTGGATGGGTGGGGAAAAAAATAAAATGACAAAGAACAAAAGGCTTTAATCTCTAGGAGCACAAAAGGCAGAGAACAGGGGTTTGAAAACAGTGGGACCCAAAAGAAGAAATTCTGCAGCTTAGCAGAGATACGGTAGCAGCTTATTAAACTGGAAATAGGCCAGCTCTCTAGCAGGAGGTTTGAACTGGCTTAGCTGGAGTTACTGGTGCAGTTTCACATAGCGAGGCAGTCATGGATAATCCCTGGAAGAGCTGCCACAGGGAAGAGGGGATTAAATTAACGTTTTCTGCAAAGCACCTGAAGGCAGGAAAGAAGCAATGGGTGGAACCTTGTTAAAGAGAGATACAGTCTAAAAAGCAAGGAAAAATTTCTTCACAGAACAACTGTAGAACAGTTTGCCTCCCGTAGTTGTGTATGTTCCATCAACTGGAAATTTTTAAGAAGAGATTGGACAACATTTGTCCAGGATGAAACAAGGACCTGCTTTGGGCAAAGGTTAGACTAGAAGATCTCCAAGGTCCCTTCCAGAACTAAGACGATTAAAGGCCTGGAGACTAAAACATATGAAGAACGGTTGCAGGATGGCCAGTCTAGAGAAAAGAAGGACTAGGGTAGACATGATAGCAGTGCTCCAGTATTTGAGGGGCTGCCACAAAGAAGAGGGCATCAAACTATTCTCCAGAGCACCAGAAGGCAAAACAAGAAACAATGGATGGAAACTAATCAAGGAGAGAAGCAACCTGGAATTAAGGAGAAACTTCCTGAGGACAATTAACCAGTGGAACAGAAGTTCTGGGCACTCAATTCATTGGAGGTTTTTAAGAAGAGACTGGACAGCCACTTGTCTGAAATAATATAGGTTCTCCTGATTGAGCAGGGGGCTGGACTAGAAGACCTCCAAGGTCCCTTCCAGATTCTGTTCTACTCTACTCTACTCTACTCTACTCTACTCTACTCTACTCTACTCTACTCTACTCTACTCTACTCTATTCTTTCTTATTCTGTTCTACTCTACTCTACTACTCTACTATTCCATTCCATTCCATTCTATTCTATTCCAGCTCTATTCTGATTCTGTCTTGTGATTCTACCATTCAACAAAAAGTTGAACATTAATCAGATTCCTAAGGCCAGGAATTTCTGTCACAAGGATGGGATTTGCAAATGTCTTCCTTCAAGAGCAATATAGGTGACACAGCCCAAACGTAGCACGATGTTGAAGCAGAATCTTACACTGAGATATCATCCCTTCGTATTTTAAGTGACTCCTGTTTGCCAATTTGTTCATATTTTCTTATCTGTTTTCCTCTGCCTGGAAAAAAATAACGTATCAGATGTGCTGCAAGCCAGAAATCTCATTCCTGCAATCTGATTTTCCTACGGGGGCGGAGGTTTATATGTTTATTGCTGTGTGTGTGTGTGTGTGTGTGTGTGTGTGTGTGTGTGTGTATGTGTGTGTGTGTTTAAGAGCATGAATCCCTAGAAGCAACCTGAAGTTGTTAACCCTCAAATACAAATGCTCGGTCTTAAAAAGAATAAAGGCAAGACAAGCTTAGACCAGTTTTTAGGAATATTTCCTTATGTGCCCATTGCTTGCTCACCGCCCCAAGGAGATTCTAGTAGATATGGGATTTATCTGGGCAGCTGGAAAGGAAAATATCTTACGGTTTTTTTTAGCTTCTGCTTAGGAATTCGAAGTAAAATTCCCTTTGAGTTGTGCTGCGCTTCGGGTGAATTCACAAACGCATCTGTGTAATTTTCTGTTATTTTTTTTTTTTTAATGAACAGCCTAGTCTATAAGCCTGGAATGTTGTAGTGGTTTTGTCTTTATTTATTACACTTATATTCTAAAGGCGACTTTACAGACATTGATTAAAACGCCTTATAAAGCTTTAAAACAATAAAGATCTTAAAATTAAAAATGCAATTAAAACTAAGGCAGGATAGAGAGTGCAGAAAGTGCAGAAAGGACAGAGGTGGACTATTCTCTACTCTACTAGGAGCAGAGCCATTAAGAGCTGTGGTGGTGCAATGGTTAGAAAGCACTATTGCAGGCTAACTTACTGCTCACTGCCAGGAGTTCGATCCTGACCGGATTAAGATTGGAGCTGTGGTGGCGCAGTGGTTAGAAAGCAGTATTGCAGGCTGACTCTGCCCATTGCCAGGAGTTTGATCCTAACCGGCTTAAGATTGGAGCTGTGGTGGTGCAGTGGTTAGAAGGCAATATTGCAGGCTAACTCACTGCTCACTGTCAGGAGTTCGATCCTGACTGGCTTAAGATTGGAGACGTGGTGGTGCAGTGGTTGGAAAGCAGTATTGCAGGCTGACTCTGCCCACTGTCTGGAGTTCGATCCTGACCAGCTCAAGGTTGACTCAACCTTTCATCCTTGCGAGGTCAGTAAAATGAGGACCCAGATTGTTGGCGGAGATAGGCTGAGTCTATAAAGCACTTAAATTCAAATAATTAGCGTTAAGTATTCAAATAAGCTCCTATTAATCCTAATTGCATCTTCTTCTGATGCTAGTCGCCCTCCTGCGGTTATTCCATTTATTGGTTACAATCCTTTTTTTTTCCTAGCAATTTGTCGTCCTCTTAATTGCTTAAGTTCCACAGCCCAGGCAAGGAAGGTTGTAAAACAGAGCGAACTTCATTGAAGAAATGTCTCACTTAGCAACCTCTTTTTAATAGAGAGGAAGGTGGGGCAGAGAGTGGTGAGGACGGCAGAAAAGATCATTGGCCGTTCCCTCCCTCCCATCCAGGACATAGCACAGAAGTGTTGCTTGAGCAGGGTCCGTAAGATTATGTGGGACACTACACATCCTCTCCACGACCTGTTTTCCTTGTTCCCTTCTGGAATGGGGAGACTTCGTGGTACCCAAAGCAGAACATCCAGATTCAGCCAGAGTTGCATTCCATACAGCATTAACCTTGCGAACTCTCAAGCTTCCTCCTTCCGTTATATATTCAAGATGGACAGTATTTAATATTTATTTATTATTAAAAGTTTTACAAATTACAATATAAACCCCCCCATCCCCCCCCACTTCCCAGAGCTGATTACAGGGTAACAAATAAACAAACATAATCTAGCTAACACAAACCAACTAAACTATCAATCAAGACCATAACACACTTTAACTCCTTCTCAAAACAAATATTAACAAATTAAAACAAAAATAATAATACAATTAATACTATTAATAATTATCTAAAATCTACTCAAAAGTAGATCTCATTGGATTTATGGGAGATAATTTGGATAAGAAATGTTAAATTTACACAAGCTCAAAATTTGAGAGAAAATTTTTATAAAATGTTTTATAGATGGCATTTAGATCCTAAAAAATTATCTTGTATGTATTCCAACATACAGCCCAAATGTTTGAGATGTGGCAATAATGATGCGACATACTTTCATATTTGGTGGAATTGTAAAAAAGTAAAGGCTTTTTGGATTATGATTTGGTGGAACATTCAAAAGATTTTTAGAAAGAAGATAAAGTTTACTCCTCAACTATTTTTGTTGACTTAAATGAAAAAGAAACTACTTTGATGTTGAATTTATTAACTGCAGCAAGGTTACTAGTAGGTCTATATTGGAAGAAAGATTCTGTGCCTACTTTAGAAGAATGGATATTTAAAGTATCTAGTTTTGCAGAAATGGCAAAAATTTCTGCTTATTTAAAGGATCATACAAAAGAAAGATATATTACTGTATGGGGAAGGTGGATAGATTATATTCAGAAAAAATATGGAATTAAAAAGTTTTATTTATTTTATGAATGAATATCAAATATTATAGAGAATTGTTTTATAAGTTATGGAGTTAAAGGTTAATTATGATATTTTTTTTTCTTTCTCTTTTTTTTTTCCTTTTTTTAATTATTATAATTTTCTTTTTCTTTTTTTTTCTTAACCCTGTATTCTGCTCTGGGAAGTGAAGGGAGGGAGGGTGGGGGTGGGAGGGAGGGTAAGGGGGGGGTTCTCTATTTTAAAATTTTATTGTATTTTTATAAATGATTGTATGTTTTTAAAAAATAAAAATTTTCAATAAAAAAAAAAAGTATTTAATATTTATTTGCTACGTATATGTAGGGGTGTGGGTCCATATCTATGTTGTACATAGTACGTTTAGGTGTGTGTCATGTATGTGTTTAACTTTGAGAGCGGGCAACTAAATTTAATTTACTGTGCCGTTGTGCCCACGGTAAAAAAATGACAATAAAGTTTATCTTATCTAACTTGTCCTTCCATTTATAGGAGGCCTCTGAGCTATCCTCTCTGAAACCCCAGCTGGATCAGGTTGGGGTGCCGCTTTATGCTGTCGTGAAAGAGAGCATTGGGACGGAGGTGGCCGACTTTCAGCCATATTTCAAGGGAGAAATATTTCTGGATGAAAAGGTAGGTGGGATTTTTGCAAGGGATTAAGGAGGAAGAGAGGACCCATCGAAGTGTAAAATTATCCTTGCTTGCGCGGTTTGGGGGGAAATGGGCCAAAACCTACATTGTTCAGTTCATTTGTTCCCCTGGCAAATGCTGGTGTTTGGGAAGAAGGTTTTCTGTATGCTTGGAAAAGGCCTCCCTGTGGCGGGAACTTCCGAGATTAAAACGTTGAGGATTTTTTGCAGTTCTGGGTGAATATTCTCCAAAGCACCAGAAGGCAGGACGAGAAACAATGGTTGGAAACTAATCAAAGAGAGAGAAGCAACCTGGAATGAAGGAGAAACTTCCTAACAGTGAGAACAATTAACCAGTGGAGCAGCTTGCCACCAGGAATCATGGGCACTCCATCACTGGAGATTTTTAAGGCTAGACCAGTGGTTCTCAACTTTTTTAATGCCGCGACCTCCCAACCGGTCGTAAGTCGAGGACTACTCAACGGGTGCAGCACCGTTTGCAGAATGGGACTTTTGGCGGGCTCAGCAGGGCAGAGACAGCCTGGACAATTCCTATTGGCTCTTGAAAGCCAATAGAATTAGACTCTATTCAAGAGAATAGAGTCTAAAGCCAATAGAATTAGACTCTATTCAAGAGAGTCTCTTCTGTTGGCTTTCAAAAGCTAATAGAATAAAAGGGAGTAGCACAGCTAAGGAAAAGGGGGGGGAAATGGCGGACTGCGTTGTTCGGCGACCCCCATGAAATGGTCGTTCGACCCCAAATGGGGTCCCGACCCACAGGTTGAGAACCACTGGGCTAGACAGTCACTTGTCTGAGATGCTATAGGTTCTCCTGCTGGAGTGGGGGGCTGGACTAGAAGACCTCCAAGGTCCCTTCCAGCTCTATCCTGTTCTAATCTTTGAGCCATCTAATTTACGAAAAGAAATGGTGCAGAGATGGAAAAGAAGGGAGCAGATGGTGAAATATCCAGCCCTTATTCCTTGACTAATTGTTTTTAAATTTGCATGCCACGCATCCTGTCTAGAGGAGACCAGGCGGCTTACAGCCAAATGAAAGCAGCCAGATAAAACATAAAAACAATAAACATCAGCGTGAAAATTGATTTTAAAGATGGGGTTCGAACCCGTTTCTTTCTTTCTTTTCTTCCCCAAGATCAGCAATTCTTGGCTTAATGTGGTCGTGTTCAGTGGGTCTTCCCTAAGTCTGGTTTTTGCCACGGAGTTCCTCTCCCATTTTTTTTTTTTTTTTTCCTCCAGAGGAAATTCTACGGTCCTCAAAAAAGAAAGATGCTGTTTCTGGCCCTTTTCCGCTGGAACGTCTGGAGGAACTTCTGGCGTGCTTGGCGGAGCGGCTACACGGGCAACATGGATGGAGAAGGCGTGATCCTGGGAGGCGTGTTTGTCATCGGCCCAGGGAGACAGGTAGAGAGCGGACAGGTGTGGCTGGGAAAGGCAGGTGTTACTGGCTCTTCTGTCCCTGTGGCCTGGGAGTCTCCGTTCTCTGCAGCTTTCAGCCCATGAAAGGACCTTAGCAATTGGCTTTCTCTTCCAGACTGAAGGATTTCTCTTTCTCCCTCCCTCTCTCTCTCTCTCTTTCTTCTCTTTTTCTCTTTCTATATTTCCCTCTTGCTCTCCTTCTCTTCCTCTCTCCTTCTCTCTCCCCCTCTCTTTCCTTCTCTTTCTTTATTTCCCTTTCTCTCTCCTCTTTCTGTCTTCCTCTCTCTTTTCTTCTATTTCTCTCCTCTCTCCTTCTTTCTCTGTCTCCCCTTTCCTTCTCTTTCTCTCTCTCTCCTCTTTCTGTCTCCCTCTCCTATTTCTCTCCCTTCTCTCCTCTCTCTCATTCTCTTTCTTTTTCCTTCTCTCTCTCTCCTTTTCTTCTATCTCTTTCTCTTTTTCTGCTTCTCTTTCTGTCTCTCCTTCTTACTCTTCTCCCTCTCTCTTTCTCTGTTTCCTTCTTGCTATCTTTCTCTTTTTCTCTCTCCCTCCCTCTCTCTTTTCTCCCTCTGTCTTTTTCTGTCTCCCTCTTACTATCTTTCTCTCTTTCTCCTTCTCTTTCTCTCTCTCTCCTTCTGCTTCTCTCTTGTTCTCTATCTCCTTCCCTCTTTCTTGCTCTCTACTTCTATCTCTGTCTATCTCCCTTTCTCTCTCTCTCTCTCTCTCTGTTTTCACTTCTTTTATGTATTATTTTGGAGATACAATCCTGTTTCTTGTGTCGCAGAACGTTATGAATGAGGAACCTCTGAAACCAGGATTCCTGTTTAATTTTGTAAAATTGAACATGGAGAACTGGAAGTTGATGATATTGATGATTTAAAAATTTTTTGAAAATCTTGGTATAAAATTCTTCCTAAGCCCAGAAGGGGGAGAACTAGGTAAATGGTGGAGCATGTTAAAAGTTTTCTGATTGTAGTTTTTGGAGATAACCCTGTTCCTGAGCTCTTGTTTCTTTTTTAGGGACTTCTCCTGGAACACCGTGAGAAAGAATTTGGAGACAAAGTTAGCCGGGATGCTGTCCTTGACGCTGTTAAGAAGATCAAAGCGCAACCTTTAGACCGTGGAGAATAGAGCCCCCTTCCTTTTTTGTTGCAAATGCTAAACGTTGCCACGCAAACGTGGGTCTTAGTCTCTGCCAGGTTCTCAATTTCTCCCCAATAACCTCAGCCTAAAGTCCACCTTCCTCGTAGCTCTTTCTGTCCGTTCTTCAGATACCGCCGAGTCCTTCTGTCTTTGTCCTGCTGGGTTAATGAAAGGCCAGATCTGAAATTGTTAAGGTCTGACCAAGATCCTTTCCAGTTGGAACAAAACATTCAGGTGTATCGGGGTGTCAAGAGGATGATGGAAAGCTTAATAAACATTGTTTTGAAAGTTCAAATGCGGTGGCTTTTTGTCGTGATTTTGAAAACCCAAGTTTGCTAACCTGGTACTTTCCATGTCTCCAATGAGATCTATTTACAGGCGGCTGTTACGTAGAAGCTGGGTTGACAAGATCAGAAATGAGGAGGCGATAAGCCACCTGGGAAAGCCCAGGGAAATCATCAAAACAATTAAAAAACCAAAGCTTGAATATTTCGGACAGGTGATGCGACACCCAGAAAAATACAGCATACTCCATTTCATCCTCCAGGGAAAGACTGAAGGCAAACGAGGTCCAGGCAGAAGAAGAACATCGTGGCTTCAAAATCTAAGGGACTGGTTTGGACAAAACTCAGCAGCACTTTTTCGTGCGGCTGCTGATAAAAACAGGATCGCCAACATGATCGCCAACATCCGATAACGGATATGGCAGAAGAGGAAGAAGAAGAATGAGGAGGAGGAGGTGGACTAGTTTGGCTGGATAATTTCAGCCCTGAAGGTCAGACTAGACATCATCTTAAAAAATGGTAAGCAGCCACCACCTTAGAAGTACTTTCAGAATCTCCTGCCTTTTTGATGATAATAACCACATACGGACATATCTTAACTGGAGCATCACTTGGACTCAGCAGAACTAAAGTAGGAATGCCCCTATGATGTAACAATCAAGGTGTTGAGTGGTGACTGGGTACTCTTACCCTCAGCAATGGAAGATGACTTTGGACTGATCACTTTCAGCCCAAGCTGAATCTCTGGGTTCTTAGTGGGATGATGAAGATGGGGGGGGGGGAGAGAGAGTTCTGTGTAGTCTCTCTAGCTAAATCAATTCAACGAGCAAAATTAGGAAACCTTTTAAGCTGTGCTATTTTATACAGTCAAAACCATTCCCAAAGCTTGTATTCATTCAGTAAACAGGGCAAAATAAGGAATATATTGATGCGTATGATTGTTGAAAGAAAAAGAAAAAAAGAAAAAAGAGAAAGAAAAAAGAAAGAAAAAAAGAAAGAAAGAAAAGGGACAGCACCATCTCTACTGGCTCCATATTTTAAACCAAAATGTGATGCAGAAAGAAAGAAAAGAAAGAGAAAGGAAGGAAGGAAAAAAATGAAGGGAGGTAAAAAGGAAAGAAAGAAGCAGAGGAAGAAAGGAAAGAGAGAAGCAGTGAATGCTCCAACACTGGAAGTTTTTAAGAAGAGACTGGACAGCCATTTGTCCGAAATGGTGTAGGGTTTCCTGCCTGAGCAGGGTGTTGGACTAGATGACCTCCAAGGTCCCTTCCAATGTTATCATCTTCATCATCTATTATGGATCATTGCACAGTCAGCCAGATGTTCAGACTGGATTTGGCATTTTGTCTACCTATCGAGTCCTTACCCAGAACCTGGGATAGGCAGATGTGGAGTTTGATGGTATTACAGATATTGTCGCAGGATGGAAGCAGTTCCTAATAAGGCCGCCTTTTGCAATTGACTAATAGCGAATTTGTCAATATTATTATTATTATTATTATTATTATTATTATTATTATTATTATTATTATTATTATTATTATTGAAGAACAGAAGAAAAATATCTGTTTACATCTGGATTTACGATTCTGCATTCTACCTTTATGGAAAAGCCATTTTTGGAAAGCATTTTATTAAAAAATGAAAGCGTTTCCACTCTGAACTAGAGGAGGCCAGTTCAGAACAGGAGAAAGTTTTAAAAATTTCTTTCCTCCTGAAGCCATTAGTTAAATGTATATGTTTACACACATTTGGCCACCGAGTCTATTTGCATCAAGAGGATAATTGGTACAGTGGAGAAGGGAAATGTCCTTTTATCTTTCAGTAGGCCTGGTTTGAACGAAATTATCTTCAACGTTAAAATAAAAGAAAAAGCATAACCGTAGACAGCGTTGTAAGCCTTTATTTAACAGTAAGCGGTAAGTGTTACAATAGGCCACGCTATTTAACAGCATGCATTTATTAGATTCTCTTCAGCTCCAGGCTGCATTTACACAAGTTCAACGCATTTATTTACAAACATTGTTAAAAACGTACTCTACAAAAATAACTACAGTGCACCGGATACACAAACAGTTAAATGACAGTGTGTAATGTCTATGGAGATTCTCTTTTTTAATTTTTTTTTCATCAACATATGTTAATTTTTCCAATCAACAAGTTGTCTGGAGTTTGCTATGCTAATACATGTTCAATTCCTAATCCTTCATTCTTTTCTCTAACCAAGAATAAAATAAATTCCAAATTTGATAGTAGTCTGTATCTTCTTTGTCTTTCAACCTCATAGTTAATCTGTCCATCTCTGCACATTCCAGTATTTTCCTGATTATTTCTTCCTCTGATGGCAATCCTTCGTTCTTCCAGTACTGTGCAAAAATTATTCTTGCTGCTGTGGTGATATGTAAAATTAAATATAATTTCTGCTTATTAGTCTTTTCAGGCATAATGCCTAGTAAAAAAAAGTTCAGGTTTAAAATCCACTTGTTCGCCCAATATTTTTTCTAACCACATATGTATATTTTTTCCAATAAGCGTTTGCCTTCCCACATGTCCACCAAATATGATAATACGTGCCTATGTTATGTTTACATTTCCAACATCTATCTGACATATTTCTAAACATTTTTTGCTAATCTTGCTGGTGGAAGGTGGTCTATGGAGATTCTCAAGTCATCCAGCTCATGGTTGTCCCAAAGGTCCCTTTTCTAAGAGGCAATTGGACTTCCTTGTGTTTCTTTGAAGATGTTTCGCTTCTCATCCAAGAAGTTTCTTCAGCTCTGACTGGAGGGTGGGGAAGGGAAGGATTTATACTCCTTGCAGACGGCTGGTCATTTGCCTTCATTTATTTTTTTTTTTTTTTTTTTTTTTTTTTTATTAAAAGTTTTATAAATTTTACAAAAAAAAACAAGAACAATACAGAACAAAAAACAACATATACAAAAGAAAAAAAAATTAAACAATACATATAAAAAAAACCCCCACCCCACACCCCTCCCAAAAACCCTCCCTTCCCCCCCCCCTGAGCTTCCCAGAGCAGAATATAGGCTTAAGAAATAATAATAAAAAAATAAAAATAAAAATAAAAATTAAATTAAAAACTTTATATTTATATATATAAAAAAGATATCTATAATATATATAAAAATAAAACTTATGAAAAAGCTATATAATATTTTTGTATACACAATCTAAATTGTATAAATTTTATCCATTTGTCCCAGATAGCAAAAAACTTCTCTTGCGTTTGTTGCTTTAAGAAAGCCGAAATCTTTGCCATTTCTGCCTGATAAGCTACTTTAAAAAACCATTCCTGCAATGTAGGCAAAGATTCCTTCTTCCAATATTGTCCAATTAACAGCCTCGCGGCTGTGATCAAGTTTAACATCAGTCTAGAGAAAAGAAGGACTAGGTGGGAGGCGACGGCGATGGCGGCTAGCTTTTAGCCGTCCAGCTGGGGAAGTGTCAGAGCCGCGGAGCGCAGCGCGCATCAGCTGGCCCGCGGCTCGGAAATCCCTTCCCGGGCAAAGGGACGGGATAGAGAACGCAAGAGTAGAGGTAGAACCCCTGAACCCCCTCTGGATTTATGTCTAGAGGGGGTGAAAGGAGTGTTCCCTCGGAGCTCTTGCTGATCTCCGCCTCCCAGCTGTTTTTGCTTCCTTGGAAGCAAAAGAAACCGCCGCTTCTATCTCCGTGTTTACAGCATTTTGGTGAGTAATTTTTAAACGGACGGAGCAGTTTTAAGGACTTTTTCTTATATTTTAGGTGTTTATTTTTTTATCTTTTGATTTTTACTATTTTTCCTCCTTTTCTTTGTTATACTAGTGAAAGGACTTAAGATGGCGTTTTGAAAGTGTCGGAGTTTTTTTTTTCCTTTCTCTTTTGTTTTACTTTCCCTTTTTAAGGATTGTTTTTTGCTTTTGCTTTTGCTGTTGGCTTAGAATTTTTTTTTTTGAATTGTTTGCTCTTTTATTACTTATTCTTGGGATTTATTCTGGACTTTTAATGATTATAGTTTGTCTCTTTTTAAAAATTCTTTTTTTCTTTTTTTCCTCCTCCCTTTTTGGCTGGAGGGGAAAGGGAAGTGACAATTGTGCTTTTTAAAATTGCTTCAAAGAGGCAGCAGCCTTCCTCAGTACCCAAGGTTATTTCTTCTCCTATAACTTCCACTGCACAGCTACAACAACAATCTAAACATGCACCACCGGCTCAGCCACCACCCTCCCCTCCTCTACCTGGACTTTCAGTGCAAGAGGTTAGAGGCCTAATGGGAGAGATTGTAGTTCAAATGAGAGAGGAAATGACTCAATTTGTTTCACAGATTAAATCAGAAATTAAATCTGATCTCAAAGAAGAGATAACGGGGATAAAGTCTAAATTGCAAGAAAATAATAATGAATTACGACAAGATATACTGGAAGCTGTTTCAGGTTTGGCTACTGTGGTGGTTAAGCTCGATGCAAGGCTTGAGGAAGTGGAAGACAAAGTTGACTCTTTAGATGACAAAATTCAAGACGTGGAAAGGAAGGTGGACTCCTCACAAGAAGATATTTTGATGTTTCAATACAGACAAATGGAGTATGCTCTGAGGATTAGAGGCCTCAAGGAAGATATGAATCAAGATTTGATGGAGGTGGTTCTTAGTGATCTGGCGCTGGCTTTGGATATGGATAAAGGAGAATTACAGAGAGAATTAGAAAAAATTTATAGACTCAACTCCTGGATTGCTAAGCAGAAGAATTTGCCCAGAGATGTGGTGATTTACTTTACAAAGAAGTCCCTGCGGAATGAGATTATACAAGCTTTTTACAACAAAAGATTTCAGATTGCCGCCCAAGATGTCATCATTCTAAAGTAAATCCCATCTAAAATTTTAAGAAGTAGGAAAGACTTTGCTTTTTTAACCAATGAGCTTAAAGCTAGATCGATGCCATTCAGATGGGAAATTCCGATGGGTATCGTTTTGAGCCATGCTGGGACACGTTACAGATTGAACACAGTTGACAAAGCTAGA